TTAATACTAGCGGACCGGACAGGTTGTCCTGTACACACGACTTAAATCCAACAACTTAAAAAAAAATTGTGAATCTATACATCCATCCCAAACGCATAAAAAAAATCATTCCAATCTATCCAGCCGATTTTCTAAGAGGATTTTAGTGACAACACACACACAGAAGAATTATATATTTATATATATATATATATATATATAGATATATATATATATATATATATATATTTATATATATATTTAGTTCAGTGTGCAAGTGGGTCTCTAACATTCCAGTATTCATTCGAATGCAATAGATAATTAATATTAAAAATAAACATTTAATGAATCCGGTTAAATAAACCTCTCTAACGGTTGAACATAACCATGTTTAAAAACGCGGCCGCCGATAAACATTAAAGTACGGATGTTTATAATGATGATGCTACAAGCAGAAAGTGTGTTCCATCGTGTACTGGGGCTTTCACATTACCTTAATGATCAATCATGAAGCAAAGTCCACGGAAGATATAACGGTAAAAACATAAAATTATACATATGTATGTGTACCTCTTGCGATTAGCAGACACAAAAATTTGTAAATTTCGGTGTAAAGTAAAAGTAAAGTAACAACCACCAGTAAAGTGACAAGGGGTCTAAGGGTATAGTCCACCACGCGACCACTTTGCGGTTTGTCGATGATTTCGAAAATATGCAGGTTACCTAAAGACCTTTTTTCTTCACCTCTGAGCACGTGATAGGTTCGATTTTGTAAGTATAAAGTTTTTATATAAAGTGTCATTGGTGATTTCTGAAATTTACTCGACAAATTTGACTGCAATAAATTTGCATTGTAATACAAAAAAATTAAATAATTTGCACATAAACGTTATCGTACGTGAGCTTAACATCCTCAAATCAATATACAGCGATCGTAATATAATCTTCACTAAGACCACTAGCAAGTCTTTCTTAGATAGTAGTAATCTTATCCTTTAAACGATCAATTCTTGTATAAATATATATATATATATATAATATATATATATATATATATATATATATATATATATATATAATTGGAATCTCGGAAACGGCTCCAACGATTTTCATGAAATTTAGTATGTGCGTAGATTCGGGGGCGAAAAATCGATCTAGCTAGGTTTCATTTTTAGAATATGTCCTTGCCCTGTATTCAGGGAATGAAAAATATCATTCGAATATGACGGTAAATCGCCGCTAAAAATGTTGTAATAGCTCGGTCAGTAATCGGGCGGCCCCAAAACAGACGGCCGCGGTTCGTATCACGATCATTTACACACTTATTTTTTTACTTTTTTTTCTATACCAGATCATTCATTTCTTTACTTTTTTTTATTTCCAAAATACATGATTTACCAAGGTCCTCCAGGTACTATTACAAGCTCATATAGATACGATAATGACATAAATACTTAACAATAGTTGTAAACATATTTTATGTCTCTTAGGGATTAGAAACAAAGCTCAAAACAATACTCATAACCTTCTTATAACATGTATACATAAATATGATTACATTCATTTGAACTTATCTCAATAAGTGCGTGATTTATACGCAACTCATTTATTTTCCGCGCGATCATTTATAACTAACACGCACACAAGTTCGTGCACAGTAAAATTTAGGTATTTATGAATGACTATCGCATTGTCAACACGTTCTGTTTTTTAGGGAATAGAATGGCATTTTTTTGTAAAAAAAAAAAAACTTTTCAATAAACGATTATACTACTGAGTCTGAACCTCCTGTGTAAATTTGGGCACTTCTCAAAAAATCTCCCTGTATACAAGTCCTTCCGCAAGTCGGAAATCCCTTGGGGAATTGTCTCGAACATCGCCGATTACTAATGCATTGAAATCCTTGGCTTGTCAAGATATTGTAAGTAATGATAAACGTACATGTTTACGACGAAAACACTGCTGTAACTTTGTACACGATGTCTATCTTAATTGTTACATGTTAATGGTGTATGAAAATCATGTATGTGCATTAGTGAAGATGCCCTTTAGACATTGTTTAATGGCAAGCAATAAATAAAGTATTAAACATATATTAATAGGAAGTAATAGCCCAACAAGATTTAAAAAAAGGGTCAAGTGCGGTCAAGAGCGAGTCGGACTCGCGCATGAAGGGTTCCCCTACCATAATCTATAAAACGGCAAAAAATCAGGTCTATTGTATGGGAGCCCCACTGAAATATATATTTATTCTGTTTTTTAGTATTTGTTGTTAAAGCTTGAACTGAAATACATCAACTTTGAAAATTTTAACTGTCTATCACGATTCAGGAGATACAGCCTAGTGACAGACGGACGGACAGACGGACAGACGAACGGACGGGCAGACGGACAGACGGACGGACGGACGGACATACAGTCAGACAGCGGAGTCTTAGCCCGTTGTACCCTTTTGGTACGGAATTTTAAAAAGATGCATTTTTTAGGGAAGTTTTTAAGTCGATTTCACTTAGGTACATCAATTTGCCTTTATATAGGTACAGACTTATCGATCTCTTCGAAAATACAAGCCGAGTATATCTCGACTAGTAAACCAAAATATGTAATCAAAAATGCTATCAAGCTAACAGTATTATATAAACCTACTTATTAGTTTTCTCAACTTTGTGTAGTAAAGCATAAAACACCAGCTAACATTAAACAAAACTAAGTTTCATGCAAGCGTTTAAGCAAACTGATGTAATCACAGACGCTATTTAACTTGTGTACTCGGCTCGACATATTTGAACAAATTCCCTCAGCAGATAATACTAAATGCAAATTGGTTTATGCAAAGCTTGCTTTTGCCAAATGGTTCGATGTTTTTTGCCAAATGAATGAATATTTAAGAGAGTTGAAAACTCTATTTCATTTCGAACATTATTCGTAACATTGTCTATCATGAAATTTGCCACAAAAGAATCTTAAATTAAGTAGGTAGGTATGAAGTCAGTTTAGAAAGTTCTTCGACTGTTAGTTATTTACCCCTAGCAGACGGTTAGTAAATTTATGTTTACAGTACGTCTTATGACAATTTACAATTGACTTAATTGTAATGGAAAAAAAGGAAACTATCTATCCAATATACTCTAAAATATAGGTATTAAAAAATGCAATGTGAATCTAGTTTTCAGGCACATTAAATCATTCCAATGACGTTCGTCTTTCGCCTAACAAAACGACTATAAAAAGAGTTTCGTCACTGAACTAAAAATAGCAGCGCTAAAATAGATTACGAATGGGCATTAGCTTTCACTTATCATTCAGTCGCGAACGATCACAAATGTTTGTAGAACCAATTTAAACTGACGAGTTAATATCTTTGATTACGTTGCTGAACGGAATATTCCTTTCATGGGATTCCTTTATACGATGCCATTGCAATAATCGAGTGTCAGCTATTCATAAAACGCTGACGCACACAAATCCAAACAATGTGCACAGATTGACATATATGAGGCCTGGAAACTGTGCTGCCGATACAAGTGTAAGTAAAGTTAAGTAAAACAGCCTATACATGTCCCACTGCAGGGCGGAGGCCTCCTTTGTAGAGAGGCTATTAGGGAAAAATCAACCACGCATCCTCATTGCGGATTTGCGGACTTTAAATATCTTCAAACTATTATTATTTAAACAAACAGTTTTTCTCACGATGCTTTCCTTCACCGCTGACCAAATTCGGCGTTATAAATCACTTAACCACGCAAGGAAAAGTAAGTAAAAAACATTCCATTTACAAAAAAGCCTCACTACGCTATACTGTAATTTGTTAGAACAACGGAGAAGCTTCGATAAACCCTTTCCACGCCATGCACATGGTAATTAACACAAACAATAAACAATTTTACACAACTCCCAAATTAAAACAAGCCAAACTATGCGTAACTGATACATTCATCAAGTGACTAGACACTAGACAAAAGATACTGACTGATTCATTATTCACTGCGCCAAATGGGCGCCAAAATTATTGTGGTAAAGAATAAAATTTATAATATCGTTAATAAGGTCTGTTTCTTATTCTCTACCGGATGACATGGGATACTAATTACCTAAACAGATAAATTATTATGTAAGATGAATAACTAGTACTAATCAGGACAGAAATGCACAAAACGTAAATTTCTTTATGGTAATTATTACTGCCTTACTGCCACATCACACAGCTTTTAATTCATACTAATATTAAATTCGACAACAATATATAGATTAAAAAAAGAAACAAAAGATAATGAATTAAACCATTCTCGAATCGAACTGAAGGACACACAAAATTCACAAATCATTAAAATTGGCCCAGTCGTTTAGGGAGAGTTCAGTGACATACACACGTACAGAAGAATTATATATATAAATATTACATATAGATAAAGCTTGTTTATGTTAATGTAATGGATCGTATGTGGAGCCACTGAAAAGTTTTTAATTATTATTACAAATACGCTGGAAAGTCGATGAATGCAAGTGAGTCATATGGCAGGATATGGAGGAGGCTATTTTCAGCTGTGGACTTAAACAGACTGAAATGATGATAATTGTCACTTTGGGGAATGCAAAGCTACGTAATTTAAAATTCCTATAAGATAATCGCAATGTTTGCATCTCACGGCCAGAATCTCAGATTACAATTAAGCCCATTCATTAAATCTGTTTTCCTTTTCTCGAAGGAAAGTCATTTATACCATTTAAACGATAATTGATAACAGAGTGAGACCGCCAATTTGACAGTTGCCATGGCAAATGTGGCAACTGTAGTTTCTGTATTGCGAAATGTTGAATATTCAAAGTGAGATTTGTGTGACATGGGCATTGTGACTGTGTGTGCCCGTTTATATATCTAGGCTTCATCATCATCATCGTTAATCATTCGCAGTCCTCTGCCGGACAGAAGACTCTCCCGTTGCACGCCATCTTGTACGAGCCTCGGCTTCTCACACCCCATTGTTTGGCTTGACAGATATAATAATGTGGGAGATACGTACTTTTCTTGTGGTGGAGACATGATCCGTGGAGGCGACACATGCTCGCCGTTTGCCCCATGCGGGCGCTACCTCACCCTAGTATCCATCCGCGCCAGCGACCTTCTACATCCCCCTACTCGTTATTCACATCTCATCAGCTGATCACTCGTGAGCCGATTACAACGTTTACATCTTAGGCAGCTGGACAAGGTACCCTGTATGACGCCGGCTGATTTTAGATGACCGTTTTAAAATAAAAAAATGTTTTCACAACTGTTGATTATCCATTTCTATATTACACTTCTAATTTTTGGTTCCAATAATTATTATTAACATAACTAATGACACATAACGCCATATAATAAGGGGTGTAAATAACATTCCGAGTTATCGACTTAATAATTAACTACCGATCCGCACCAGCTTCGCACGGGTGCAATTTATCCTTACTAATATTATAAACGCGAAAGATTGTACATATGTATGAATGGATGTTTGTTACTCTTTCACTCAAAAACTATTTTATAAACATACTGTGTGAATTGTCCGAAGTATAGGTAATGATAAATGTCAAATAAGTAGGAAAAAATTCTGCCATGTTTGGAGTACTTTTCCACGCAAATAAATCTAATATATTAATTAATTCAGCCAATTCGACCCATAATAAAAACAAAACAATTTTCCATTGGCCAACAAAAGTAACAAAAGACGATGTTAGTTATGCAGAATTTAATCACTTCGGAGAAACTTTTGATTTTCGTGTGGAAAGCTGTAAACTTACGGCCCCATTAACTGAACTTGAGCTTTTAATTGAGTATAAGGTTATCTTGGCTTTGAATGTTTCATTTTTAGTGCCTTGAGAGTTCAAAGTTAATTATTATTTGTTAAAGTGAACTTTGAACATGTAGGGTAAGTATTAATGATATGCTAATTCATCGGTTTTCAAATTTATTTTATTAACATATTTGAATTTTGTTTTACATAAAACAATTTAAAAGACTGCCACCTGAGATTCGCTTTTTTATCCGTCTATAGACCATCAAATGATTAAAACAATAATAAAAGGAAAATGTTTTTTGAGTATGATAAAATTGAAAACTTTTACGTAATCTTTACAACTTTTACTTAATTATAAACGCAAAAGTTTGTATGAATGGATGGATGTTTGTTACTCTTTCACGCAAATACTACTGAATGGATTTTAATTAAACTGTACAATAACATAGCTTATACATCAGAATAAGATATAGGCTATAATTTATATACATATTTTATGTATATCTGTCTTTCTGTCTGAATGTTACGCCTTCAGCCTATTCTACGCAGACGTAGTCGCGGGCAGCAGCTCGACCTTACTAATATTATAAAGGCGAAAGTTTGTATGTATGGATGGATGTTTTGTTACTCTTTCACGCAAATACTATTGAATGGATTTTAATGAAACTTTACAATAATATAGCTTATACATCAGAATAAGACAGCGGGCAGCAGCTAGTATATTATAATGATTAAACAACAATAGATTACACACTTTACGCTTCGTGTATATACATTAATATATAATATAATCTACGCGAGGATCAATACTTTTACAAAAATAAAGAAATAAAAATTGGTACGTTGCCTAGCAAAGATAAAAAAAATCAAGTGCTTCTCAGAAGATTGCGAATAATTATTATCACAGTTAGAACTGTAGAAGTAGATAAATAAAAAAATAACACACGAAAGCAACAATTTGAATAAAAACTTTTCGTGGAACACGAAAGATAAATGCGAAAGCCCTACGATTACAAAAACCTTCGCCGACAATAAATCGCGTCCGAACAAAACGCGCGGCGTCACGCGGACAGACGTTTACAACCGCGTTTGAGAAATGATACGGCGAAAAGGTGGCGAGCGACGCCGATACAAATGATAGATGAAACTGCGCCGCTGGAGAACAACGGATGGCGTTGATTAATCGCATAGGCGGAGGCGAACTTCGAACATTGCTCATGAATGGTAGTAGTAGTAAATCATTGCGGATCGATCGCGCCGCACACCTCCAGTCCAATCTCTCGGCGTTGGCAAACGAGCGCCAGTCAATGAACTGTGCCCGAGGTCGAGCTAGTACGAGACGCCGCGCACGGCGTATGTTCAATAATTAAACGCCTATTCATTTCATTCAGCCCCGGTGGTCGTTTACCACCGCGATCGACCACTTTATTCGAAAACAACAAAATACCACGTCTCAAAATGCTGACGGAGTAGAGCAATGTAGATAGATTGACGTTGCAGCGAATTCGTCGAATACCAAGTACTAACGAAATTCAGTAGCAGATAAATATTGTGAAACACGAATCCCATCTACAAACACAGAAAACCATTTCTGCCATTTACTTCATCATTCAATTTGGAAACTCAAACCATATAACTACACAACCACCCATCCAACCGCCCCGTACACAGAAATATGCGTCGGTAGTCTGATCGATTCGCCAACCGGCCCCTGGGAAATTGCATCGCGATAAATATTGTAAAGCAATTAACGTGCATATCTCATTTTCTCGGTGAGTTAACCTTTTGAACTAAAGACAGACATTTAAAAAGAACTGGATCACAATTAATGATAATTTACTATTCTTACCTTTTCTTTAGAGCCGTGATAGCTCAGTGTCCGGGCGCTCGCCTTTAATTCAATATACTCGAGCAACCTGAGTTCGATCCCCGGTGCCGGCACCAATGAAGTTTTTAACTTTAAGTGCTGTCTTATCACGTGCTCCGCGGTGAAGGAAAACATCGTGAGGAAACCTGCATATTTTCGAAATAATAACAAAAAAATATTTCGAAGATATGTGAAGTCCGCCAATCCGCAGTGGGGCCGCGTGGTGGACTATGCCCTGATACAGAGCCTATATGCCTGATATAGAGGAGGCCTTTGCCCAGCAGTGGGACATGTATAGGCTGTTACTTTACTTTACTTTACCTTTTCTTTTCTTTCTTTCTTTTAACAAAAGAAAAATAATTAGGGATTGTATTATAATATCCTAACGCGTAAACAGCCTTAAAAGGCTAAAAAGTAAGTGGTTGATTTATAATAAATTTGGCAACTTTAGCACCGATATAGCAGTCGCACGTGATAAGAATAAGCCATTGAACGGAAACAAACTATCGCGTTGACTTCAATAACACGAGAATGTGGTGGAGTTATCTCTTATGTAATTTAACCAGCTTTAAAAAACTAAGTTGTTTACGATGTACTAGCAGTTTTTTTTATCTTTTACCGAGAGGGCACTGACGGGATCAATAATCAAATTAATAACAATCAAAGGCAGCATTAATTATTATGTGCTGTTCACTGTGAATAAAGAATGCTAAAATGCTACATAATATACAAAACGATTTGATGAAACATTCAAATATTTTATTATTTCGAAAATATGAAGGGTAAATAAACAAATAATTTATATTTATAAAATTAATATTTAGGACAAATTTTTCACACAAAGTTCTATAGTCCCAAACTAAGCAATGCTTGTACTATGGGTACTAGATAATTGATAAACATACTTAAACATACTTTTCTTTTGTAAATAAATACATATTATACATATATATAAACACCCAGACACTAGAGAAACACTATGTTCATCACACAATATTTCTCCAGTAGTGGGGATCGAACCCACACCCTCCACAGGTGGCAGGTACACCACCCACCACGCCATTCAGGTTCAATCGCAAAGTTTTCTTCATCGCCGAGCACGTGTTAAGTCAGTACTAAAAATTACAATCAACAATTTCATTTACAATTTCTCAATGTCTGCCCAGCAGTGGGATACATGTAGACTGTGTTGTTATATTCTTACGGTTATCACTATAACGGTTATTTTAATTTTTAATCTAAAAAGCAATGCTTTTATTTTTATGAATGTAATTAGGAATTATTAGGAATTATTGGAATTATTGTGTACGTATAACTCAAACACGTATTGCAAATGTTCGTTATAATTAATACATTAGAATTTCATTGTAATAACTATTCCTCTTTTCTTGTGTAAAGTTATGTAAGAATAAAATAATAATCACAACCATTCACTTACTTCTGGAAATTATACTAGTCATTTTTATTAATCACGATTAATTTAACACTTATATAAGTTTTTTTCGGTCAGTGATACAATAAAAGTAAAATTAAGACGTAACTATGTTAAATTTACATTTGATAGCTGTACAGCATTTTATTATCTTAGATTGTACGTAGAAAATTTAACCTTGACAAACCTTAGTTTTCCACGTTATGCTTTCCCGTGTGGAAAATCTAATATCGCCCTCAAAAAGCACAAAAACCATTGAATTAAATTATAACTCATTCATGTGAAAACTCCTTGCGCACATTCAATGGGAACGATTATTCAATGCGGTTGAGATCTCATTATGACATTTGACAGCAGACAGGCTCCAACACGCAATTTTGAGTACTGCCTATCACGTGCAGCACTGAAGGGAAAGATCATAAATAACTGAATGTTTTTGAAACAATAATTTAAAAAAAATATTCCGAAGATATTTTAAGTTCGCCAATCTGTAGTAGGTTCGCGTAGTAGACATTGACTGAGAAGATTGCTTAGAGACTTGTATAGACTTACTTTCCATTTTTTACTTTATACACTGCTTACAATTTTATGAATATTTCAACACTTTAGTGTCGTAAATTAATTATTATACGAAAAAAAAAACAAGTTAATCATGTTTCCGAATAATTATTTATTATGAAACCTTTATATCTAACTCAACAAAACACGTGTCACTATTAGAGACAAAGACGATCTTTCTTGTTTTCTATCACAAATTTCGATAATATCAGGCTATGTTATATTCAAACGAAGAGAAGAAAGAATTGCTGATACGTTTTATTCGAAAATGTTCCTTAAACGTGTACTAGTTCAAAATATTTGAGAATTTCTCGCAACGAGCTATAATGAAAACTCCCTAATTTTATTAACGGACGCTTCCTGTCTTGAATAATTAAGGCTCTACACTTGTTATTTCACTGTCGAAAGGCGACTAAGTTTACCTTACGCTGTTTCCAACGTACAA